CCAGGGCGCCCAGGAGGCTGCAGCTGGAGGAACCAGGGCTGTTCCCCCTCGATGGGGGACACCATTCCCTGGTCTCATCATCATGTGATATTAAGCAAAGCAACAGAGGAGCCTGGGATGACACAGGGTGAGCTCAGGCTTCTTGCCACCTGTTCCACTGGGGGTTGGTGGAACTGGGGAGACAGATGGGGAATGGCAAAGTGCACAATGGCCTCAAGGGGATGAGAAAGGTGGGCACAAGCACAGGCTGATGAGACCCGCGGCTGTCAGGCTGTGAGTGAACCCAGCTGGCCCTGGGGTGAGGGCTTGGCTGATGGCATGTGGCATCTCTGGTCACCAAAAGTCTTCACCATGTGCAGGGCCAGACTGGTCCCTGACACCTCTCTTGGTGGGAACACATGATCGTGGGGGGCTCTGCAACCCCTCTGGGGGCTCTCGCCTCCCCCAGGGTGGTGATGGGCTGAGCCAAGAGCAGGCACGATGCCTGGGGGCTCCTCAGGCTGGAGAACCCTCCTTGGCTGCCAGTCACCCCTAAGTCTGGCAAGCTTCCCCCTGCAACCCCTTTCTCCCTGCCTGCCCTATCCTGCTGTTCACAGCCAGAGCCAAGGGGTAACACAGAGCATGGAAAGAGCCTTTATTTAGGAAGCATGTGGCACCCAGCGCCCCTGGGCCCTTTTCCCTGCTATCCCCCCCGACCGAGCCCACTGACATCCCTAAAAATCACCCACCCCCACCTCCTCTTGCTGTGGATGCAGAGACCTCCCCCTGGCAGCTCCCCAAACACACGACCCCCTCCCCAGCCACAGCACCTGCCCCATCCCACCCCCAGCCAAGCACCTCCATCCCTCTGTGAGCACCCACCCCTGTGCCTGCCCCACAAGACCCCGCAGCCCCTCAGAGCTGCACCTACGCCACCCCCCTCCCCACATGCTCCCTGGCCAGGGTGTTCCTGCGCAGCCCCCGTGGAGGCACAGGATCAGGGACATCCCCCATCCCTGCCCTGCTACCGGTGAGGAGGCTCCTGCTGCTGGTGCCGCAGCCGCTGCTGCCTGCGGACCGGCTGGGGGCTGAGCACGGGGATGTGTCCCACGAGGCGCAGGGGAGAGCCTGGGCTGGGGATTTCGGAGCAGGGAGATGCTGGCTGCTGTCCCAGGGCCGGGAGATGGTGCTTGGGAGGCGCAGCTGGCACGGGAAAAGGCACCACGGCCTCCGAGGGGATGAGGAAGGCGGGCACAAAGCCGTAGGAGAGATCGAAGGCTTTGGGGGCTACTCCACTCCGTAACGGGGCAAGGCGGGCTGGTGGTGGGCTAGCCGGGGCACCTGGGCACTTGGTGGGGCCCGCAGGGTCCCTCCCCACCTGGTCCTTCTGCACCTGGTCCTTCTGCACCTGGTCCTTCTGCAGCAGCTCCTGCAGTTTCTCCAGCTGCGTCCGGCAGATGTGGGAGCGTGTGCGGCTCTGGCAGAAGGACTCCAGAAAGGACTCAAGGGGCAGGTCCTGGGCCAGGAACTGCTCTATCTGTACCTGTAGGATGGACAGTGGGACAACATCAAGCCAAGAGAGCTGTAGGACCACAGAGGGAGCAATCCTGGACCCTTGGACTCTTCTCCAGACCTGGCATGTGGGAAGGCATGGAGAGCAGTCCAGGGCCCAGGCAAGGAGGGGGCAGCAGCACAGGGGTCTCAGATGACTCACCTCTGACTCTGCTTCGGAGGCATCAAGCTTAGCTTGGAGCTCGCCCAGGGCGCTCTGTGGGTTCCACTTCTCCAGGTAAGCCTCTGTGTGTCAGAAGGGGATGGGGCTGCCAACCTGCCAACTTTCCCCTGGATGTCCCCACTGCTGGGGTTGCCATCTTTCCCACCCCAAAGCATCAGCTCCCCCCTACCTTGAACTGAAACACCCCCAAACACATCCCTGGGGCCACCTGCACACCAAGGCCTGCTTTCCACCTTGGCTCTATGGCTGCTCAGAGCAGCTGGGGCTGCCCCATCCCTGGAAGTGTCCAAGGCCAGGTTGGAGCAACCTGGTCTGGTGGAAGGTGTTCCTGCCTGTGGCATGGGGGGGAAACCAGATGAGCTTTAAAGTGTCTTCCAACCCAAACTATTCTGGGATTCTGTGACTGGTCCCAGATGAGGGTTCACTGTGTCACAGGCAGCATCATCCCCCATCACTCCTGATCATGACTGGACCATTTCCCCGGGGCAGGTTCAAAGATGCTGAGCCCACCTGGACCCTCATATTAATACAGGTTGCTCCAGCCACCCCAAGCTCTGCCCCATCCCATCAGCTGCACCCCACTCACCCAGGCGCTGCTGCTTGTCCCAACATGCCTCTCGGATCTCCCGCAGCTCCTGGTACTTGATGGCCAGGGAAGCCTTCCCGTCCTCCAGCCGTGGGCGCAGGGACAGGTTCACCCTGGCCTGGGTGCAGTTTGAAGCCAAACACATCTCCCGCTCCTGCTGCAGGCTCTGGAACTGTGGGTACAGGAGCGTGGGATGTGTCAGCACTGGGAGAAATGGGCAGCAGCCTGGGAGAAATCCAGCAGCCTGCTGGGCGGGGGTCCGAGTCCATCCAGGCACGAACCGCCTCTTCCTGCACTGTCTCCATGCCTCTGCTCTGCCTAGAGCATCCCGGGGGGATGCAAAGCCTGGCGCCGGGCTACACACGGAAAACCCCAGCGCCGGCTACCCTTTTCCTTCAGGAAAAGGGCTCGGCAGCGGGCATAGATGTCGGGGGGGACACACGCATCCTCCCCTCGCTGCGCACACACTGGAGGGGCCCAGGGGAGACGCTGAAATGGGGCCGAGAGCGATTCCAGAATAACCTGCGCCCGCTCCCGCAGCGGAGCCGGGAGCGCGCGGGGCTCATCCCTCATCCCGGCTGCGCGCAGCGAGGCCGGGCTGGAAGGCGGGCGAAGGGCCGGGGCCTCCCCAGATCTCGGGGCTGCGGGGGACAGCGGATGGGTTTGGTGGCTGTGGGTTTGGTGGCTGTGGGTTTGGTGGCCCGAGGCTGCAGCACAGGAGCCCCGCGCAGCCGTGGCCAGGACGCCCGAGCCGATGTTCCCCCGCCCCGCCGGTGGATTCTGCGGCTCCTCCAGAGCCCCCGGGATTACGGGTGTCAAGGAAGGGGCAGCGGGCGGCGGGGCCGGGACGGGCGGGGGATGCCCGGCCCTGCAGCGCCGGTGCCCGGGCCGCGGGCGGCTCCACCTTGCGCACCGGGACAGCCCCGCTGGGGCGAGCGACGACGGCTCGGCCCCGCCGGCTGCGGGACGCGGTCCCCCCCGATCCCCCTCGATCCCGCCGGCCCCCCGTTACCTTCCTGCTGAGGCGGGCGGCGCGCTGCAGTCGCGACTCGTCCTGCAGCAGAGCCCGGAGCTGCGCCGTGCTCAGCGCCCCGAGGCGGCGCGGGGAGCCGGGCGGCACCGCGGGCCGGGACATGGGCCGGGGCCGGGATTAGGATCGGGATCGGGATCGGGACCGATCCCCGCCCCCGCCGCCGGGAGCCGCGCGCGCCCCCCGCGCGCCGCCCCCGCCGGTCTTAAAGGAGCCGCAGCGGAGCACGGGGCGCTCCCGCTCCGCACCGCTCCTCCCCGCACCGCACCGCACCGCACCGCCCCCGGCCAGGGCACACCGGCACTGCTCCCGCCCCGCACCGCCCCCGGCCGGGGCACACCGGCACTGCTCCCGCTCCGCGCACCCTGCGCACCGCACCCCGCTGTGCGCACCCGACACCCCGCTGTGCCCACCCCGCACATCGCTGTGCCCACCCCGCACCTCCTTGTGCCCAACCCGCACATCGCTGTGCCCACCCCGCACATCGCTGTGCCCACCCCGCACCCCTCTGTGCCCACTCCGTCCTACACCCCTCTCTGCGCACCCTGCTCCCCTCTGTGCACCCTCCGCACCTCACTCGGCACAACCCGCACCCCGCACCCCCACTGGGCGCGCCTCGCACGGCCCCCGCGCCACCAACGTCCCGCACCCTACTGTGCCCATCCCGCCTGCTGCCGCCGCGGTCTCACCCGTCCTGTGGCACCCCGGTGCCCTGTCCCCGCGGCTCCGGACAGGCGGGAGCCAAGGGACACCCTGTCACTGGGACACCCTGTCGCTGCAGCTCTGTTCGAGCCCCTTCGGCCCCCGGGGAGGGCAGAGGTGGGAGCGCTGCCCCGCTGGGACCGGGAACTGCTGCCACAGGGTGCTGTGGTCACTAAATGTTTGCAGTGATTCAGAGACCTAGAAGAAAAATTCCAGGACCCCCCAACAGCCATCTCTCCTTGCTGATACCAGCTTGTGCTCCTGCCATAGGAGAGCTGCTCTTCCAGACAACACAAATGCATGCTGGAGCTCTCCTGTGCCTCCCCTCCCCGTGCTGAGGTGCCCAATCCAAGGCAGGCACGGGCTGTATGTGGAGGTCCCACCAGTCCTCCGTGCTCTGGTTTGGGAGGCTCAGAGGTTGATGCTGGAGGCTCTCACTGGGGCGCTTCCACCAGGAGTAGCCCCAGATTTTCTTTTTCCTCAGACACCCACAGCTGCAGGTGCCCCCACTCTGCAGTGCTCAGGGCCATTCTCTGGAGCAGTGCCAGGTCCTTTCTGGCTGGGACATCTCCCACTGCTCATTTCTCTCAGCATTTTCTAATTTCTCAAACCTCTCTGGATGGCTCCCCAGTGCACACTGGGCTCTGCAGCTGGTGGGCCAGGGATGGGTTTTCCCTGGCCCTGGAAGGTGAAAATCATGGCTGGTCTTAGAAGTGAAATTCATGGCTGTTACTGTGCTGCCCCAGGACGAAACCAGAAGGGGTTTGTGAAGGCCAAAGAGCTTCTCCAAAAGTCTGTCCTGGCAGTGCCAGAACTGTGGGATGGAGGAGCTGTAACAGTCTTGTCCTGCAGCCTCACAGCATTAGCTCTGTCTACACTTTTCCTGGCAAAAGTTCATCTAAATTGATCTCAGAAACTTGGATAAGGTGATCCCATTATGAACTCTTTCCTCATTAGTGTCTCCTAGTTCAAGTGGAGAATTCTTCATTTCTAACATCTAACCTACTTCTCCTTTGCTTCTATTTCAGTTTCCTGCTTCTCGGTCACAGCAGACAGATTTACCAATGACTTTGAAATCCTGTTTCTAGAGGATCAAAATATGTCTGTGTAGACAGCCAGGCACCAAGGAGCACATCCTGACAGACAGAGCCTCCCTGCAGGAGCAGGACCCTGGCACCAGGACATTGCCACAGCTTCTGACCCAGGACTGTGAGTGTGGTGATGATGTGGGGTGAGTTCTCCCGTGTGCCTGGTCCCTTCTGAACCCCCCTGTGCAGATCCCAGGGCCTTTATCACAGTGTAACTGGGTTTAATTTTCCTACATCCATTCCTGTGAGAACCACTCAAGGCTTTCCGCCTCCAGGTTGAGCAACCCGGTCTAGTGCAAGGTGTCCCTGCCCATGTCAAGGGAGGTGGAATGAGATGAGCTTCAAGGTCCCTTCCAACCCAACCCAAACCAGTCTGTGACTCTGTGACTCTGTGATAAGCCCCAAGACTTCCATCCTGCCACCTGACATGGGATTTTCCCAGATCTCATGGGAGCACACGAGAGACAGAGAACAGATATCATCACTGGTGAATGAGCTCAAGCAAGCACATTTATTTGGATGCTTCACCAGACACTGCAGAGAGGCTCTCAGAGTACATGGAAATTTGTGGCATGCAGCTTTTTTGCTCGCTGTGAGTTCTGGAGGCAGGAAGCTCTGATGTCACTCCAGGGCTGTGTCTTCCTCCCTCAGGGAAGGTACACGGGGAATCCGCAAATTTCACAAGTAATTTTTTTATTCTTGATTATGAACGTAATAAAAAGGAATCACTGGCAAGCACAGGGGAACAGAGCTGAGCAGAGGGGAGCCTGCACTCAGAGTGGGGATTGGAAAGTGGCATTTTACTAAAGCCCTGCTATCTTTGGGCTCCTCGCTCTGCTCCAGAGAGGCTCACGCTCTTCAGCCATGCAGAGCCTTTGCAGAGTGTCCAGTGTGGACAGGAGGAGGAAGAAGCACTAGCAATATGAAGCTGGTTTGATGAGGATAAGGGAGGATTTGCAGTTCCCCTTGCACAGGTTGCCCCATGACATGCCACCCTTGTAATTCAGCCTCACAGAGTAACACGACGAGAACCACCACCCGCCCTCATAGCTGTAGGCACAGTTCTTACTGTAAGTGTCCTGGTCCCGATCCTTTGTGGAGAATTTCATGTTGTCATGCATGTTGTTGGGATTGTCTGAGGTCATGGCATCCCCCGCCGTGCCGTTGTAGGCGCCCAGCCTCAGCCTGTAGCCCTGGGACTCGTCTTCCACGCTGAACAGGTTGTAGTCTGCGAAGCTGATGGTGTCTGCAGAATCCTGGATCACAAACCTGACCTGGTAGACCTTCTGCTTGGCGATCTGGTGGATGTACTCGGTGCCCAGCCAGTACTCGGTGCGCACGTTCCCGAAGCCGAACTTGTAGGTGCTCCAGGACTCGGCCCAGGTGACTGGTGTGTCTCTCTGGTTCCTCTGGATCACGGTCCAGCCCCCGTGGGTCACATTCATCTCGCAGTACACCACGAGGTGGTGGAGCCCTTGGGCTGGATGATGTAGACACCGCTGTGGCTGCCACGGGGAATCTCGCTGCAGTCCTTGGGCCAACCTGAGGCTGGAAACAGAGATGGTTATTAAATCCCACACAATGACACGCTGAAAGAGGGATATTCCTTCTGTGCCTAGATCTTTTTGCACACATGTTCCTGCCACGGGCTCTGTATACTGCCACTATATTCCTGCCATGCACTCACAGGAGTGAAACAAAATTTTGACATGATCAGTGTAGGAGTTGAGCTTCACATCTTCCCAAGATTCAAACTGATGGGGACACACTGTCTGGGCCTGGTGAGACCAAGCCAGGGATCACCATCACCCCAGGACCCTCGCCCAGGTTGGGCTCGGTCTCACAGTGCTGTGGTGATTTGCCTGTGTCATACAGGTGATGTATGACCACAGAATAATGCAAATCTGGGTGACAAAGCCACTTGTGGGTACAGCAAAGAGGCTTTAGACCTTTGCAGTAATCTCAGAAACCCCAGAGAGAGGGTGATCACAACATCAAAACCATTAACAGTTACATCAGCCCTTGGAAACTCCACAGGGTAAAGCTGTTGGTGTTCTCTGGGCTTACCAAAGTAGCTCTGTAGAGACTTCCTGACTTGGATTTGATTATGGCCTTTCCATGCTCCAGAGTGTCAGCACCTCATACAACAAACAACTGAATACACCTACACACTCCTGGGGGGGGACTTGCTCCTCTCCCAGTACCTCTGCCCCTGTTTGTCCCCACCCAGACAGGACCTATCTTTGGTCCTATGGGTTAATGTTTGACTCAGCCAGTCAGCCCCAGTCTTCTCATCAACTGTGTGGTGAAAATGGGAAAATTACCAATCACCACTTCCCAGTAATGAATAATCACTTTCCAGTTTGGATCTTTAGCTGGAAAATTCCCCACCCTAAAGGTCCTCATTGACTTCTGAGCCCAGGACACGGCTGGTAACAGAGTCCCCTGAGGTTATGAGCTGTGGCTCCTCTGCAGCCCATCAGAAAACCAACATTTTTCCTGGGAGGAGCCAGTGCACATGTAGGACATGGATAAAGTGTCTGGGAGTTGCTGATGAGCCCAGCAGGAGTGAAACCTCCCAGGCAGATGCAGAGACTCACCGTGACTTGCTGGCGGGTGGTGGCCGATGTCTCTGGCCTGTCGGACATGTCCATCACCATCATCTAAATTAGCAGAACAGAACATGTCAAATGCCTGCTGGGAGAGCACGATCTTCTCCAGATGATATTCCTGTTTTTCTCTTGCTGTTCCTAATTCCAGAGGAGCTTTCTGATTTCAGATATCAGCGAGTCAGTAGTTTAGGGGAATTTAGGTGATGTTAGAGTGGGGCAGATGCCTTCCTGGTGGAAAGGATTTTTGGGCACACTATGTGAGGAAAAGACCCTAAGTGGGGGCAATGACACTGGGAAGATGGTTGTTAAAGTGCAGCAGCAGTAGCTTGGTAGGGACTCAGAAAGAACAGGGATTACAGGGGGAAGAAGTGTGAGACCAGACACAGGAAAACTGGTGCAGGTATCAGGAGTTGGGAGAGGGCTCTGCTCAGCTGGGTCAGAATGGAATCTGAAGGGTGTTGCTGGGAGAGAGGATGGTTTTGAGTGAGTTAATGCAGTTCTTTGGCAAGGGCATCTTCTGTGTATCCACTGAGAGGAATGAGTCACAGGCTTATGGAATCACAAAAGCCATTCCTATCCCTTCTCTGGAACAGACACCTCACCCTGCAGCTGCTGCTCCAACAGCCTCAAATACCTGCTCCCTGCCACCCTCAAATACCTGCTCCCTGCTTTCAACTGGTGCTGTTCTACCCTCTCCCTTGTGAAGTGTTTAATTTATGGCCCTTGCACGCTGTGTATAAGCCCATTCCTGACACAGTTGGCTTGCCAGATTTTTGACTCTCTGAGTTTTGATATTGACTGTCTTTTTGACTCCTTTTGACTCTCTCCACTGCCCGAGCCTGTATGGGGTGGAAACACTCATGTGACATGGTCTGGAGGACTTTCTTTCCATGGTATTTACTTTTACTGCAGCCATATGAAGCTGTTCACTCCTGTTCATTTTTGTGAGCCACAGTCTGGTCCTGCTCCTCTCTGCCTTCATCCCCCATCCATTTGGATGCACTCCTCCCCAAGACAAGACTTGGAATGCTGGCCTGTCTTGCCTGGCATGCCTCCCTGCTCACCCAGCTTGCATTCATGCTGCTGATATTTTCAGAGCACGCTACCAGTGCTGTGGGTGAGAGATCACCATGTTCATAGAATATCCCAAGTTAGAAGGGACCCACAAGGATCATCAGGCCCAACTCCTGGCCCTGCACAGAACAACCCTAAAATCATACCATGTGCCTGAGAGCACTGTGAAGTCCAGAGCACGTTTTCTTTCTCTCCTCAGACTTGCAGTTCCTGCTGAAGCCCAGGCTCTTGTCTCAGTCATGAGGCTCCCTGTGTTGGCAGTTTCCTGACAGCTGATGTGAAACCAGCACCAAACACCTGGACTTTGAGCTCTTCTGCCAGGAATTCATCCTTCTGCCTTGGAAGGGAACCAGCACTTTCTGTTGTGCCATGTCCCACCCACAGCCCCTGTTTGTTTTTTTTTTTCCAGGAACATTTCTTGAAGGCTTCCTCATTGCTCCAACTTACCCTGGCATCTGCAGGTTACTCTGTGCCACCACCTGGTTGCCACCACCACCAGTGCCACTGCTTGCACTCTTTGTATTAACTTCATTTAGTTCCTCTTTCTATTGAGGTCTCCCTTGAATTGAGTTCTCCACTGACCTCGTGATTTCCAGAGGTGGGGACTGTTCTTCGTGTCCTTAAAACACACTGTGAACATCTTTAACCCTATTTCTTCAAGGAAGAGCACGTGACCCTTGTCTTGGCCTTGCTGCCAATAGGACAAAACCTGTCCCTTCTCCTGGGATCTGTGTAGGATCTGACTGATCAGGACCTTATTTGCCTCTCCTTGTTGTACTGGGCACTTACCGGGCTGGGAGGACTCTGGAGGAGCATTCATGATGTCGTCCATCGTGCCATTGAGGAGGTACAAGTTTCTTATGTCAAGGTCAGGAAGAGATGCTGCCAGGGCCAGCAGGCAGGTAAGAAGCAGGAGACAAAGGCACTGGGTAGCTGAAATGGGAAGAGATAGGAAAAAGAAGAAAGAGATCATAACTCTTCCATTAGAGAGCCCCGAATCTCATTGGATTATTCCTTTACCTGCCAAGTAAAATAGGAAAATAAAACTCTTTCTGTGTAGAGGTCCCTCTTGGAGCCATGAGCCCCTTGTAGATCAGCTCATTTATATGAGACACCCTACTCATTAGCAGGAGTCACTAGTGGTGGCACTGCTGAGGTGGTTTTTGAGACAGAAGAAGTGCTAAAACCTTGTCCAAACCCACAATGCCTGTAACCAGAAATCTCTGTAAAACCCAAGACTCGAGGCTGGAGATAACAAGCAGGGTGAGCATGGAGGGTGGAATCCCCTCTCCTGGCAGCTCCCATCACACTCCCCTGGCACACTCACCTTGTCTGAGCTGGGACTGCCTCGGGGCTGTGGGCAGTAAGACCCCGGGTGTCTGGGTGGGGACAAGCCCCAGGCAGAGCCGTGTGTGTGCAAGCAGCAGACAGTGAATGGCAGCACAGACCTTCAGGAATTACAGCCTGGCTGGGGGAAATTATGCCCTTTGTGTGCTTATGTCAGTTATGTGGCTACTTGAAAATTTCCATATGTAGCCAGCTGCTCTGGTCTGTTCCTGTTCAGAGCAGCAGGGGAAACCAGCACACTTTTTGCAGTATTAGGCCTAAGTAAAATAACAGGAAATTTATCATTATTCCTAAAGAGTGGGGCATTCATTTTCTAGTCTAGAATATTTAACAACTTTCCTCAGAGAACTGAAAATCATAAAGAATGGTAAATAGGAGGCCTGTAAAATGGGCTTTCTGGCACTCCAGAGCTACACTGGTACACCCTTAAAGTAGAGCAGAGCATGCAGGGTCTTGCCCAAGTTCCCAACCCAAGGCACAGCGGGCTCAGACAAGGCGGTGGACTCGGCATTGGGATGTTCAGGGTGTTGGGAGGAGGGACCCCTGAAGCAGACAAAGTGCTGGGGTGCCCTGTGACCCCACAGCGACATGCAGAGTTTCCATCCCATCCCATCCCATCCCATCCCATTCCACCCCATCCCACCCCACACTCACCCATGCCGTCTCTGCGGGGACTCTGCGGAGCACAGAGCCAGGCGGTTTTGGCCTGGCTGGAGGGGTGTCCAGCCTGAAAGTTATAGGGCTGATCAGGCGAGGGGGTGGAGGCACGAGACCCAAACCACAGCACTTGTCCTCTGCTTGGCAACAAGACCAGTGGCTTAGGGCTTATTTGCTCTCCACCATCAAGTGAGCAGCCCTCGCACAACGAAGTCTGCGTCTCACACGGGTGAAGAGCTTTCTTCAGAGGCAAAGCAAATAATTCAGTGCCAATAAGCAAATGCCTTAAAATAACCACAACTTACAGTGCCCGGCTGCCCCCCTGCCTTGGCAGGGTTTCCCCAGGGAACGACGTTCTTGGGGCACCTCCACACAGTTTAACTGCTAAGTAAATACCCGGGTGACATTCCCCTTCTGGAGGGAAATCAAACATCGAGCGTAAATCGCTCTCTCCAGAGCCGGCATTGAGCTCAACAGCCCCTGGGGACCCCACAGACCCTTCAGGGAAGAGGTACTCCAGTGTTCCTGAGAAACTGTGCCCCAAACTTCAAAAAGTACCACTCCAGCTGCCTCCTGACACCCCTGCCCCCCCCACCACGGCGCTGACCCTTGCACAACACACACCGTGGTCCCCCTGGCACCATCACGAGCTGGAGTTTGGGCACTGTGACGTGACACTGATGTAAAATGGTCTCACTTCGAGCGCCCTCTCTGCTCCAGGAGTGCCTACATCGTGGATGTCTCACAGAAAACACCAGATCTCCTTTTTCCCAGGGGTTGATGCCCACAGTGTTCTGAGTTATGAAGATGCCTGTGCCCTAGCACCCGACTTGGGCTGGACAGCCAGAACCTGTGGCAGAGTGGACTGGAATTTTGTCACAGGCTGTGTCCCTGCAGTGTGGCCAGCTGGTCATGGACACTCCTGTGCCTGCCCTGCTGTGCTGCTGCCCAACAGCAGGTACAAGCAAGGCCAGGCAGAGACTCTCAGCAGGGCTTCTCCAACAACATCCAGCCCCCAGGCACCTTTTCCAGGATGCCCATGTTGGGATTAGGGTGTGCAAAGCAGGCAGGAGAAAGGCCACAGAGGGGATTTCTCCAAACTCCCAGCTATATCCTGGGACTCAGCTCCTCTTCAGTGTAAACTTCATAAAATCAGAGAATCCTGGAATGGTCTGGATTGGAAAAGACCTTAAATACCATCTCATTCCACTCCCTGCCATGGGCAGGGGCACCTTCCACTAGACCAGGCTGCTCCAAACCCCGTCCAACCTGGCCTTGATCAATGTTTAATACTGAAAGAACCTCAGATCTGTTTGTGGCTCCATCCCAGGCTGCATCTGGAAAAACGCAGCCAGGAGGGTGAGGGAAGGGATTATTCCTTTCCATGGGTGAGACAGTAGCTGGAATGCTGTGTCCTGCGTGGGGGTCCACTGTGCAGAGCAGTGGCTTCAGCTCCAGAAGGATCCAGCTAAGAGCCCCGGGGCAGCTGAGGCAGGAGCACATGGCATGTGTGGAGAGGCTGAGAAAGAAGAGCTTGTCCAGCCTGGAGAAGGGAAGGCTGAGGTAGGATCTTGTGGCTGCCCTCAGCTACCTGGGCAGGATGGCGAGGAGCAGGTAGAGTCAGGCTCCTCAGAGCACTGTGTCTTATTTTGGATCCCTCACTGCAAGAAACAGGCTGGAGCAAGCCTGGAGAACACCAGACTGGCTGGGAGCCTGGAGCTCAGGATGTTTCAGAATTGGAGAGAACTGGGCTTGTTCCACCTGGAGAAGAGCAGGCACCTGAGAGGTCCTATTGCTGAAGGCAATGGTCTCGTGGAAGGACACAGAAAACAGGGAGCTGGACTGTTCAAGGAGGTCCATGGTGGTGAGATAAGAAGCAATTTATCTAAGTCAGAACATGGAAAAAGCCACTTACAAATAGACACTTTCTTTAACATGAAGTTTGTCAAATACTAGGACAGGTGGCCAGAGAGAGGCAGAGGCTGTGGGATTTCTGTCCTTAGAGGTGTTCAAGACTTGACTGGACAAGAACCTGACTGAGCAGGGACTGAACTAGATGGCCTGTAGAAGTCACTTCCAACCTAAATTAATCTATCACCCATCTGTGACTCTCCTCGGAGGTGCACAGGGTAGGATGAGAGTCAATGGACATAAGGGACAGGAGGAAATTATATATATATATAAAAATCAACCCAAGAGTGTTCAAAAACTGAAAAATAGCAAAGAGAAGTTGTGGGACCTCCATTCCTTGACATTCACAACTGACCCAGGTGTGACCCCAAACAGCCCATTCAAGTCATTCATTCATTGCTGCTTTGGCCATTGCCTTGGCTTCCTCTCCATAGAATCATGGCATCATAGAATGTGCTCTGTTGGAAGGGACCCATCAGGATCACCGAGTCCAGCTCCCATGGGGCCTGTGTTCCTGCTGCCAGCAGTGATCCCAGAGGTGGCTGCCCAGCAGCAGTCTGCCTGTGAGTCCTGGTACAGGCACCCTGAAGTGCTCTATTAGCTTTGGGGAAGCCCATGAGAGCCCTTAAATCCCCCACTTCCCCTGCCCCCCGAAAGGATTCTTCCCTGAGCAGCTTGGGCCTTTCTCCCACCATAAACTCCATAAGCTTTTATCATTCTCCCAAACTAAATGAGGCTGTGGACAAGGGCTCCCAGCCTCTCATCAAGCAAGCAGTGGTGACATCAAAGGGTTCAGATGGAAGTTGATCACAGTATCACAGAATTGTTAAGGTTGGAAAAGACCTCTAAGATCATTGAGTCTAAAGGTCAACCCAGCACCATCGTGTTCATCACTAAACCATGTCCTCAAATGCCACATCCCCAGGTTTTTTGCAAGCTTCCAGCGACGGTGATTCCACTACTGCTCCAGACAACTTGTTCCAGTGCTTGACAACTCTTTCCATGAAGAAATTTTTCCTAAAATTCAATCTAAACTTCCCTTGGTGCAACTTGAGGCCACTTTCTCTTGTCCTGTCCATCCAGGAATTCCTTACCAGGGTTGTCTTACCTTGCAGAGGTCTGGATGCTGCTGTCCATCAAGACCTGCAAGTGGCACTGCTTGATGTGGGCACCCACAGTACAGAAAGTTTGGTGGGAGCTTCATCTTGAACTCGACTTGCTATGAACAGCGAGTGTGGAGCTGTGCCAGAACAAGACATCTGGCCAGAAGCCAGTAGAGCAGAAGAAAGTAGAAGGGCCACATCTTTATCCTCTTAAATTTGATAAGGTGATGGAGCTGCTTGCACCTCCTGGTATGAACAAGAGCCCTCCCAAGTGTCTGTCCTGAGAGCATTTTGCTCCCATAGACAGCGCAACTCCAGGTCGACATTTCTGGGGCTGGGGGTGGATCTGCAGGGTCTCAGCAGGCCAAGGACAGGGACTGGGAAGGAGAGTGGCAAAGGGACCCAGAGGCAGCTGTTTGTTACCTGGAGCCCTTGCTCAGAGCACACAGACTGGGGTGCCAGGGAACACTGTGTCTGCAGTGGCTCTGGCTGCTGGACAGCGGCTCCAGCCCAGTGCTGATCCTGAAACCTGCCAGTGGAGAGTTACCAAGCTGGCACTCTCTGAAGGACCTGTTCTCAACTTTCCCAGGTCACCTTTGGGACTGGGCACACAGGAGACCTCTCCTCCTTTGCTGGTTTCTATGTGTGTGTCCTTAAACAGCTGGGTCTCTCCACTTCACTTTGATCCTGGCTCTCCAGAATTTGCTCCAGGCGGGCAATTCACATGTAGTGTTTGTGTAGGGACAGTCAATAACCTAAATCCCTCACCGTGGAGGGGGCTGTTCTGTACCTCTCTGACTGGAAGGGCATGCCTCCCTCCCCTCAGTTCTGCTGTCATGGGATCTGGAAACTGCTCGAGTCACAATCTGCAAGTGCCTCTAGAGCTGATGAGTGTGAACACACGTGGGTGTGTGCAGTGCCTATAAAGCCGGCGTGGACAGCTCGGCGTGGGAGGGTGCACCGCCGGGTTCCCGCTCTCTGCGCAGCCGTGCTGTCGTGATGGGTGAGTGACCTGCCCAGGGACACCTCACTCCTGTGTGGTGCTGGGCTCAAACGAGACCTGAGGGGGTGAGTATGCAAAGGCACGGAGATGACGAGCAGGACTCCAGCACGCCGGGAGCAGGAGGGATGCCAGACCAAAGCACCGAACAACACACACGCGCCTGTGGCTGCCCTGGGGTACCTGTGCCATGTGTTCCCATGGAGGTTAAGGTGCAGACCTAGGTTTCACCTTGGTCTTTTCCCTTCCCAACCAAATCATGTGGCACATGTGGCTGCACAGGGATCCTGCCTCAGGCATGGTGGCATCTCCCACAGGAGCCGAGCGAGTGCAGGATGTAGAGGGGTGGTGGTCAGCACAGAGGGTGTGGGTTTGTGTCCCTGTGGGGGCCCAGGAGATTTCTCCCAGGTGCAGTAGGACCCATCCTTTGGCTTAGTTTCCTTCTATCTGTGATTGGGCTAGAGTGGCTTATATAAAAGAAATAAGCATGATTACTCCAAAAAGAGCTGTTCCATGTTATTCCTCCCCACCTGGCAACCCACCAGCTTCTCTTTTTCTTAAAAATGTCATTGGCAGAGGTATTACTGAAACTTTTGATTGGCTTTTTCTCTGGAAATCCACCTGGACAAAACCATCCTCAGCCCCAGGGGCTGGCTGGTGGGCAAAACCACGACAGTTTTTGCCCTCTCTTGGGCTGTAGGTTCCAAGAACAAACTGCAGGCTGCCGTGTGATGTAGGGAAGGAGATGCTCAGGAGGTGACAGAGCCATTTCTCACCTTGCTTCAGCCCTGCAGGGCAGAGCCTGCCCTGGAGCTGCAGTTCCCACCAGCCCGGGAGCCCCTTGCTCCTGACTGAGCCCTGACTCTGCCTTCCCTGCTCTGAGCATGCCAGGGGCTGACCAGGGATCCTGGTGGTGATGGGCACTTTCCTCCCCAGGGCTCCAGGCTGGGACACACCAGCTCCACCGGGACCTTGTCCTCCTGCCCACCCTGGTGGCGATGCTTCTCCTCTGTGCCAGCGCCGGCCCAGCCGTACCCACTGCCAGCCCCCGGAGCGGTGAGTAAGGGTCACTGGGGGGCACGGACTGGGCATGGAGGGACAGAGCAGGACAGGTTCTCCCTGGCTCAGCGCTGACTCTTGGGTCTGCTGCGTGCTAGGGAAGGTCAGCAAACACCCAGGGGGATGCACAGCACAGGAACTCATCACACACACAACCCCCGGGGCCGTGGCTTGTACAGCCTGACTCCTTCACCCCTTTGGTGGCTCTATGCTGAAACCAGCAGGTTCCTGCCCAAACACCTTGGCAGGATTGCTCTGCCACGACTGTGAACCTCAGTTCTAGGAGAGATCCTCCCAGCTACTTGTTTTTTTGTTTTACTCTTGTTGGATTAGGAGCATTCCCTAACTCCCTGCAAGGGAGGGTTGCAGTTCCTGCAAGACCTGAGTGCTTGAGTAAAATAGATTTTCAGGGGTTGAATTGGAATTACCCACAGCAAATTGTCTCCCATCAGACACAACCAAGAAAAACAAATTAGACAGTAAATTAGTTTGTCCAGTAAGTCATGACAGATCAGATAAACTGTAACAAGCTGGGAGAAGAGATCCCTGTGAGACTACGGCAGAACTAAGCCTTCTTTTTCAATGCTGTGACCCCAGAGATAACACAAATTCTCATTGCATATCGCCATCCAGTGGAGCATTTTGGACGCTTCTCGTCCTTGCAAGAGCTGCAACTCGATAAGTCAAGGGCCTTGTGTGTGGGCCAGATATACTTGGAGGACACCACTGGCATCTGGAGGATTTTCCCCCCTTCTTTCCTTGGCCAGATGCCAGTGATGTCCAATGAAGGCTCCAAATGAAACAGCAAACCATGAGAAATAGATTCCAGGGCTCTTACAGAGGTCACTGTCTTAGAGAGACTTTCTGGGTTCCCTGAGCACGAACCAGTGGAAAAAGCACAGGCAGAACTACCCATTTTTGTCCCGAGTTCTCACTGCCCTGCAGGAGCACCTTGTTACCCTGACAGGCTTATGATCCTTCTCTCTCCCACCCCAACCCGTGTTTGCTGCTGCAGCCTCAGGGTTCCCCCCGGACTGCAGCCGCCTCCGCAAGAACAGCCCCAGCGGGGTGTACGTCATCCAGCCGGCCCGGTCCCCCCCGCGCGTGGTCTGGTGCGACATGGACACCGAAGGCAAGGGCTGGACTGTCGTCCAGAGAAACTCTCATGACACTGAGCTCAACTGGAAGCAGTCCTGGACCACCTACAAGTACGGCTTTGGGAATGTGCACGCCGATTACTGGCTGGGCACTGAGTACCTGCACCTGCTGACCCAGCAGGGCACCTACAAGGTGCGTTTCGTCGTGCGGGACAAAACCAACGTCACCCACTTCGCCGAGTACGACATCTTCAGGGTGGAGAGCGAGGCCAGCGGGTACCCGCTGAGGCTGGGCCGGCATTCTGGTGATGGGGACGACTACCTGACCCTCTACCACCCCAAGAAGGGGGGCATTCACGACAACATGAAGTTCAGCACGGTGGACAAGGACCAGGACCAGTACAGCGGGAACTGCGCCAAGAGCTACGGGGGGTGGTGGTACAACAGGTGCCAGAACGTGCTGCTCAATGCCAAAAACTACATCGTTTGGCCGGGGTTCTGCGACAACGGTGACTGCGCATCCTCCCTCATCCTGGTCAAACCCACAGACGTGTGCTGACCGTGCTGCAGCGCCCAGAGCCCCGGCAGTGGGGGGGTGACACCATCCCCAGCTCAGTGCCCCGTTCCCATGCCTGCCCACTGTCCCCTGCGAGTCCCAGTGCTCTGCCCGCAGCTCCTGCACCCTCACCAGCCGAAACACAGCGGCTCTGGGGCCCAAGAGCCATGGCCCGGAGCCCTGGGCACACGGGCACTGGGTTGGGGTGGGTGTGCTCGCCCCCGTCCTGGGGAGGGGGACACGGTGCCGGTTCCCTGCCCCGCGCAGTCGGTGGACCCCGCTTTGCTCAGGCCCTGCTCCCTCCCCGGGCCCCGCTCCCCCCACAGCTCTGCTACCCACGGTGGGAGGAACCAGCTGCAATAAACCCTGGAGCCAGACTGTGCTGCCTCGTGTCTACCTGCATGTAGATGTGGGGGGATCTCTCTGTCCAGTCTTTAGGGAGGAAAGTAAAGTGTGTTGGGCAATATTCCTTCCAGTTCATTTGTTCCAGTTACTGTGCACTGGACTGTAGCTGTAAGGCTTCAATTAGTTCAACAGGACCAGCAAAGCCCATACCTTGCAAACCCCTCACTCCCAGTTTGCCACTGTCCATGGCTGGGGGTTGCTCTGTGCTGGGAAAGGGAAGAAACCACCACAGCTTGGAGTGTGGAGAGGGCAGAGGGCTCCCTTGAGGGTGTGAGCGATGTGTGTAAGTCACTCAGTCCCATTGTTCCCTGCTGCAAAGGGGGAATGTGTCTGTGGAGCTCCCTCGGAATGGAGGGAAGTTTTAACTTTGGGCTTGAAAGAACCCATGGTTCCTCTTCTCAGTCCTTGGGAGAAAAGCAAGGTCTCTGACTCAGGTGCCAGGGCACCCTGCAGAGCTGGGTGTGTGGGCAGTGCTGTGTTCCTGAGGAGCTATGGAGTTCCTGAGGAGCATTCCTTGGCTGCCCTGGTGGCACTTGAGGGCAGGCAGCACTGCTGCACGGGGAGATGGAGGTATGTGAGGGTGCTGCTGGTTGAGAAAGGCTTCCCAGCTGGAGCTGACTTGGGAGTAACATTTCTGGACTGAGAGATATATCTGCTGGTTTAAGAAGCTGTTGGTGCTCCAGCCTGGATGTACAACCTAATGTGAGGGGAGAGGCTGGACAGAAGGGCTTTGGGCTGCTGGTAAATAGCACTCTGCCCCTGAGCCAGCCCTGAGGGATGCTGAGCTGCATTCCTGGGCTCTGTTAGCAAGAGGGCAACCAGCAAGACATCTCCCTAGCACTGGGAGACTCCTTCTACTCAGTACTGGGAGACCACATCACAGGTACTGTGTCCACTGCTGAGCTATCCAGTGCAAGGAGATATCACCACACTGGAGCAAGCCCATACAGACCCAAGCTGATCCAAAAACTTGAAACTATGGGATCCCTGCCATGTCAGAGATCTTACACCTGCCCAAACACACTGACTAAGTGGTGCTGTGTGGCCTTGCAGTGCTGTTGTTCCTTTCTTGCCAGTTCACTCTCCCATTTCCTTTTTGGAAGATCCCCACCTTGGAATCCAACTCCCTTCATTAAGTGAAAGTTTTGTCTTTAATTCCTTGCCTGAGTCTTATGAAAAAATTTCCCTTTGGAAACAGTTTCCTGCTGCACCAGGAGCCTCAGGTCTGCTCCTGGCAGGACACTGGGAGCAGTTGCAAGGAGTTCCCAAACAAATGAAGGACACCTACGCAGAGCTGAAAGTGATTTTATTTGGCAGGGTGAATACAGACTGCAGCAGGGTTGTGGTGCAGATATGGTCTGCCCTGGCCTCAGTGCAGTGTAGGTCAGGTTAGCTAGTGATGGATATTTTTCTACTGAAAACATCTATACCCACAAAGCAGAAAGAGAGTAAGACCTTGCTGGACCAGGAGGGTTCTAAGTTTCTGAGCACAGTTTTGTCCCCAGAAGGAAAATGCTTGGACACTGCAGTGTTTATAAACATGTGTGCTAATAATGATCCCCCACAACCCACCGTAGGTGAATGGCCAGAGACAGAGCAGGGAACTTTGCTACTTTTCAGGATAAGAGGAAAACAAAGCAGCTCTTGATATAGAGGAACAACCCTACTCACCCCCAGCCCTCGTCATCAAACGGGCCCCGCAGGGCACTGGCCTGGCCATGTGCCCAGGGGGGACAGAGGAGGGAAGGAGTTCTAGTGGTAGGGAGCTGGTTTGATGAGGATGGCAGAGGCTTTGCAGTTCCCCTTGCACAGCCTGCCCCACGTGATGCCCCCCTTGACGTTCAGCCGCACGGAGTAACACGCCGAGTACCACCACCCACCCCCATAGCGGGAGGCACAGTTCCCTCTGTAAGTGTCCTGGTCCCGATCCTTTGTGGAGAACTTCATGTTGTTGTGCACTTTCCTGGGATTATCTGAATCCATGGCATCCTCTGCTGTCCCCGAGTGCGCCCCCAGCCTCAGCCTGTAGCCCTGGGACTCATCGTCCACGCTGAACAGATTGTAGTCTGCAAACCTCTTGTTGTTTGAAGCATCCCAGATGACAAACCTGACCTGGTAGATCTTCTGCCTGGTGATCTGGTGGATGTTCTCAGTGCCCAGCCAGTACTCGGTGTGCACATTCCCAAAGCCGTGCTTGTAGGTGCTCCAGGACTCGTTCCAGGTGATATCCGTGTCCTGCCGGTTCCTCTGGATCACGGTCCAGCCCCCATCTGCCTCACCCATCTCACAGTACACCATGATGGGGTGCAGTCCTGTGGGCTGGATGATGTAGACACCGCTGGGGCTGCCAGCAGGGACCTCACTGCAGTCCCTGGGCCAACCTGGAGCAGGACAGAAGGGGACTGAACAAAAGCCGGTAGAATAGGACAAGACCTTGTTTCACCCTGGGGCAGGAGAGAGGGACAACTGCCCAGAGCACCTGGGGCATAATCAGCTCTCCCAGCCTAGAGAGGTCTGGAGGTGTGAGTGGGTTGTCCTCAGCTCTCTATTCCTTTTCCATAAGGGGCACCAACATGAGTCAGCCCCAGTGAAAGGTCCCAGACCCACCAGGCTATGCTGGTACAAGGCCAAGGGACTGAATATGGGCACTACAGAGCTCCTCTAGGTCTCCTGAAAAAGGGGTTGTGCCACTACAACAGGGTCATGGTGGGAGGAAGGTGAAGAGGACCTTGACCCTGCCTGTGACTGAGGGAACAGGGGGAAAAGTGACCTCTTCAAGCACACAGAGAAACCCTTCCCAGCCTGTACAGTGCACACACACACACACAAACACACACTCTGCAGCCTTTATTAGGTGCATCTCCACCATCCTCCATCCCAGAGCAGGGCCAGGGTTAGGGATGGTTATGGGTCTTTTCCCACCCAGAGCTGGCTGTACACCAGCACACCACCAGATGCCCACGGAATGCTACCTACTGGTTTTCTTCAGAGCACTTGCCGAAGCATTGGAGGGAGATTTCTTGAAGATGTTTAGGGTTTCTGTGTGCATAGAGGTGCCTGGAGCAGCCAAGAGCAGCAGGCAAGCAAGGAGCAGAAGGCACTGGGCTGCTAGAAAGGGACAAGATGGAGAAAAGATGAAACAGGACTTTCCCTGCAGAGAGACTGGACATCCCATGGCTCCAGCACCACAATTAACACGGCCCTGTGAGGTGCAGGAGAGCACCGAGAAAGCTGGGCAGCATCAGGCTGCTTCCTGCAAGCTGAAAGGCTTGCCCAAGGGGTAGGCAACCTTGCCTTTCCCCCTTGATCTGCTCCTGGCAAGTCAAGCACAGGGTAGTTTTGGGTGGAGCAAAGCACCCAACAACCAACTGAGCCAAGTTTCACTCCTGGCCCCTGGAGCAGGGGACTGGCTGGGGTGAGCCAGAAGCCAGGGGACCAGAAGGAGGGCACTGGTGCCACTGCTCCCCATCAGTGTGCATGGAGCCTCTCCCTATTGCTGGGCTGCCCTACCTGTGCTCCCCTCACTGCTGGCAAGGACCCCCCCCTTTCCCAGCCCTGTACTCACCCATGGCTCCAGGTGGGAATGCCCTTGGAGCGCAGAGCTCTGGAGCAGCCGGTGGAACAGAGGCATTTGTAGTGCCTCCCGCAGTGGGCGGGCTGAGTGGGTCCTGCCCTGCTTTTCTCCTGGAGGAGGAGATCAGGTTGATTTCCTTTGTGCCCTCAGAAAATACCAGCTGAGGTGGAGGTGCCTGTGGTTCTGAGTGCACAGGTCCCTAAGCTGCAAAGAAAATAATCCCCATGCCAGCAAGAATCCTTGGAATGGTCTCTTCTGTGAGTGCTTAGTGACTTGGATGGAATTTCCCCTGGTAACAGCATATTTGGGAACTTTGAAGAGTGCAGCTCGGTGAACAAACACTTGAACTCCACAGTCACCAACCAGGTGGAGAGCAAACACAGGGCTGTCCCTGCCTCCCACCACCGCAGCAGGTGCTGCCAGGTCAAGGGGCTCTTGTTTAAAATCTGCTCCTGTCAAACCCAGCCTGGCTCTGGGTGGGGCCCCAAGACTTCCTGGGAGTTGTGGGACAGTGTTTGGAGCAGCTGGTGCTTTCTGGAGCAGAGGGGTTTCCATCTGGTGGAAGCAGAAGTCTCGACTCCCCAGTGGGCCACACTCCTGACCTGCAAGGGGGCAGCTGAACGGGCCTGATGAAAGGTTTCTGTAAGGCAGATGAGACAGCTGCAGCCTCTGGGCACTGAGTTTGGGGGACTGGTCATGAAGGATGATGGCTGCAGAGGAAAGCAAGTGTCTGCCAGGATAGGAATGAAACCAGGTGGATGGAGGGCAGGCAACAGGAATCTGAGCATGAGGGGAACTGAGGGGACCTCAGTGTGTACGGAGGAAGAGTGGAGGGAAACGAGGGTACACAGAGGGGCTGGGAGGGACATCATCGTGGAACCCACAGGAACTGAGCACCCACAGAATGGACAGTGGGATTTGAGCATCAGTGAAGGGTAATGGATGGAATCTGAGGGTACTTGTCATGAAAAAGAGGGATGTGAGAGTGCCCAGAGGGGAGAAGTCAGCACCAGGCAGACACTGACAGGAACAGAGGAGATCTGAGTATTTGATGAGGGAAACAGAGGAGATCTGGGTGCCCACAGAGGGAAATGGAGGACACCTTCAGGAGGAGCAGGTCCTCACTGGGGTCAGAACAGGGCAGGACAGGCTTGGCTGCAGCCAGGGGGCCACAGCTCAGGCTCCTCCACCATCACCAGTGCTCACAGCTCTGCAGATGGAATGTCCACCCATGAAAAGAAAGATGCTGCCAAGTACCCAGTTTTCCTGTCTGCAAGGCAAAGAATCCCAGATTTCTATCACCAGCATAATGCAGATTTTCAGAACTCTATATTTCTGTTTCTAGACTGTTCCCATTTGCACATCCAGCACAAAAAAAACAATTGCAGAAATGTTGGTCCTCGGGGATGAATCCATGTGTTAAGGTCCCAAGGGTGAATCCAGGGATCTGGAATCCTCCAGGGTACCCTGTTGTTCACGTCTGTGGGATATCCAGTGGACACATTGACATATGGCCCTGGAAGACAGAAGGAGGGATGAAGAAAGAGGGGAAGCAGGGAAGACACCCTATATTCCCATCAGGGGATGTGAGGATGGCAGTGGGTACACATGGGGCATCTGAGGGGCTCAAGGGGCAACTGGGAAGCCCTTGGAGCAACTGATGGCTCTGAGGGTGAAGGAATGGGACCACGAGGGCAACTGGGACAACTGACTGTAACTGGGGCCCCCAAAGGGACAGTGGGGGTTCTAGGGAAAACAGGGCAAAGTTTCAGGGTTTCATGGGTAATTAGGGAATCTGTCGGAAGCAAGGCAGCCTGGAGTGATCCTGGGTGCAAGGGGGAGATCCTGGAATGGGCCAGAGGACAATGGAAGTCCCAGGGGACTGTGAGTTTTGGAGTCCTGGCAGTCTGTGGCCCACCTGATACCTGGGTCTCCTCCCACTTGCAGGGAATCCCAAGTGACTGAGAATCCTGTGGGGTTTGGGAGTCCCTTGCTGCTCTGTGAGGGACCCCAGAAGCCATGGGGACTTTGAGGGTACAGATTACCAGGCCAGCAATACTCACACCAGCAGCAGCACGAACGCCAGGGAGGCAACTGCCAGTGCCAGCCCCATCGTTGGTATGGGGTGCACGGGGGTCTCGTTGTGCAGCCAGTGCAGCACAGTATTGAACACAGCCTGGAGCCCCCTCTCTTCCTCCACGCTTCCCTCTGACACTGTGGGGACACCGGCACCTCAGGTCACAGGGCCCTGCAGCACCTGCCCCCGCCACAGACCTCGCTGTCTGGGGGTCCCTGCTCCAACCCACACGCCCCAGTGTCCCCAGAGGAGCCAGGGATCAGGGAATACCTGCTCCAGTTCACCTGTCCACCATGAACTGACACGTCCTGGCACCCTGCCCGCACCCCCAAGCACCCCCCTCCCATGGGCCCAAGGTGTCAGGGGTTCAGCTCCCCCCCAGGGCACTGCTCCCTGCCCCCAGGGCACCTCGGTGTCGGGGCTCACCATTGAGGTAGAAGAACTTGCGGACAAAGGGCTTGGAAACCTCCCCCAGGCGACAGGCGACGGTTCCTGGAGCGGGCTCCTCGATGGTCAGGCTGAAGGGCTTCTCAGGATTCCCCTTGAGCTCCATGAACAGCGACACATCCTGTGTGCGCAGCTGGGGCAGGTGGGAGGGATCCATCAGCGCAGCCCAGCAGGCACACGGCACAGCACACGTGTGCACACACCTCCTGTCCCACACACTCTCCTTGTGCCCCGTGTGCGCACACAGCCATGCACAACCACACTGGACACTGAAGTCATCTCCTGAGCACGCAGGAAGGAATTCTTCCCTGTGGGGTTGTTCAGGGAAGCTGTGGCTGCCCCATCCCTGGAAGTGTTCAAGGCCAGGGTCACCAAACCCCAGGAAATGAACTCTCTAATCATTTGGAAAGCCGACATTACTTTATTCAGTGCTGAGGTACACGGGTACCCCTTCACATGTACATTAGTCATCAAAACTTTTAACTATTTATATATTTTAGCAAACAACGGAATTGGTGTTCATTAGCTTACACATTATATAATTCTCTAAATGAATTATTATTCTATGATAATTAGTCCACATTTTCAGTCTTTTTATTATCTTTTTCCCAGATAGGGCATCTCTGGTTTATGTAACGTGTTTTTGTGGTTTATAAATTCTGCTGTCCTGGTGTTCGATTTTCAACAGTAAATTTCTCTTCCAGGCTTTGTTAACTTCCCCCTCCAGGTCTGAGAGCACTAAAGTATATCAAAAGCCCTAAATTTTTAATTTGTTTTTCTAACACATGGACATCACCCAGAGCTTGCCCGTCATCCATTATCTAAAATCACCTCTTAACATTTTCCCTCACTGCTGCACAGGCTCCTTTTTAAAGAAACACAACTTGTTCAGTTAGACCAGGTTGGATGGGGCTTGGAGCAACCTGTTCTAGAGGAAGGTGTCCCTACCCATTGCAGGGGGTGGAGTGAGATGAGTTTTAAGGTCCCTTCCAACCCAAACTATCCTCTAATTTTATGACTCTACCTGTGCCCACACAAATCTGCAAACACAGGAGTGACCTGCCCTCTGTGTGTGCTTTCACAGCTGCTGCTTCCAGCAGATGGTGGCAGCAGTACCTGTACCTGTGAGAGACCTCACACCAAGCAAACAGCTGTGTGTGTGTGTGCAGGCCTGGCTACCTGTGCCCAGCCCCCCCCCAGAATGTCCACTCACACCCTTCCACGCTCACGTGCAACTCACATTTGGGACAAACATCCAGGTGACGGGCAGGCCGGTGGGGACGGCGAACGGCACGTCACAGCTCAGCACGATGGTTTCATCCGTGTAGGTCTGCATGTCCTGCACTGGGAGCATTGCCAGGCACGTGAGCTCGCACCTGGGTGTGCCCTGACAGAGGGGATGGTGCTCCTGGGCTGGCTGCAGGGGCGGGCAGCCGAACACCTTGGCAGGTGTGCTCAGGGTGGGAGCACCGGTGAGAAGTGCAGGGCGTTCTCCAGAGCCCTGGGGGCACCCAGCTCCAGGGGCAGGTGAGCCCAGCCTGGGTGCCTGAGTTGCTGAGCTAGCAATGGTTTTATTTTGTGGGGAATCCTGTCCTTTGGAGGTACTTTGCTCATTATCATCTCATTATAATACCAAACACACCTCCATCTCAACAGCTACCCACCCCCAAAGTACAACCACCCCTCGCTGAGTGCGTGCTCTGCATCTTTCTATCCTGGACCTTTAAAAGCAAAGAGATACCATTTGCCCCCAGTCAGCACCAAAGGCATGACTGGAGCCACTCAAGCGCCACCATAATACTAAAAATAGTACAAAAATAAGCTAAAAAAGGGGTTAAGTTGGGGAAGATTTCCTTACTCTTAATGAAATAGTCTGGCGTGGTCCCATACCTGGGCAGTCCAGGGAAAACTCGCAGTCCACAAAGCGGCAGGTAGCACACTGGAAGACACGGGCAGCTGGCTGGAATCCTGGGAAAGAGAGTCTTGGTGGTCCCAGGGGAGTGGGAGATGTACTAGGGGACAAGGAAGGGCAAGACAGAGGGACAGGCACTCACCACAGGGTGGGATGCAGGCTGGAACTGGTGGGGTGGAAGCAGTGTTAGACTGTGGAACACTTGGGGACTCACATCCTTACGATGAGCTGTCAGGGCTCAGCCCTTGTCCAGCCCAGATGGAGTCCCTGGGAGTTTCTGTAGGACAAGGGTTCCCAGGGTGGGGGTCCCCACTGGCCCCATACCTTTCCCCAGCCGGCTCAGCTTCACCCAGATTGTCTTGACAGTTTCCTCAAGGGCCGTGAGAAAGGGCTCTGGAGTGACCCAGATGTCCAGATGAGACAATGTGTCCTCCCCAGGATCCCCATGAACCCTTCCCAGACACCACAGATCCCCTGTACAACTCACCTCAACCCCATATATCCATCCTGGAGTCCCATATATTCCCAAATACCCCCTCAAATCCCCCAAGAAGCTGTATACCTTGAAGCCTATATACCCTCAGGATTCCCCAAATATCCCTTTACTGCCTCCAGACCTCCATATTTCTCCTCCACCCCACGCCCCTTCAAGGCCTCCACATCCCATGCCCCATGCCCCATGTCCCCTGCTCACTCTTTCCCTTTTGCTCCTCTAGATAGTACAAAGCATCCGTGACAATGTCCCGAAGTTCCTCATGCTGCCCTGCCCCTGGAACCAGTACAGGAACACTGGAATCAGTATACAGGGTTAGGGTTGGAGTTTCAGTAAGGTCTGGAGGGTTTCTGGGAGTTCCTGGAGTTCCACACAGGGTTTAGGGATCCTGGGAAGGGTCAGGTATCCCTGGGGACTCCCTGGTGAAGGTTGGGTGACTCTCAGGGTCTCAGGCAGGGCTGGGGTTCCCAAAGGTCCCTGGGGTCCAGATCAGGACATGGGAGGCCTTGGCATGGTTCTGAGTCCCAGGGATGCTTGTCTGGGGTGGGTTCCTGGGGTCCCCAACTTCCTGGGATCCTGGTCAGCATCACTGTGAGGGCCTTGGTTGAAGTGGGGAATCCCAGAGGATTGTAGGGTGCTGTTCAGGGCAGGGGTCCCCCTTGGGATGGAGGGCCCATGGAAAAGAGGGGCCAGTCAGGATGGAGGTTCTCAGGCAGGATTCCTTTGGGTTTGGTGTCCCTGGGGTCCCATGACGTACCCACACTGACAGAGGCAAACTGTTTAGGAACCTCAACAAAGATCTCTAGGCATTTCTGATATCTGGGGTTGCTGCCAGAGGCCCCAGTATAGTCACGGCAGAACTGTTCCCGCTGATTGGGGGGCCCAAAGCAGAACAGGCAGGGGTGCACCCCAGGGAGGCAGGGCACCAGGGCCACCCACAGCCACAAGCCAGGGTTTCTAGGCCGCCAGGGGACCAGCACCAGCATCAGGGCCACCCACCACCACCCCATGACCCCAGACCCAACATCCAAATGCCGAGTTCCTTGGGCAACAGTGGGGTTCCAAGGTGGAGCCCGGGCACCTGGGTCACCAGGGAACCAGATAAGGCATGAGGTCATACTCCAGGCAGCCACATGGAGCTCACACCAGCCAGTGTGAGCAGAACCCAGCAAGAAACGTGCAGACAACCCTTGCACTGAGTGTGAGCTGGAAGCTCTGAGCCAGCCCAGGGTGATGGCAGCACCGCTGCCAAACACGGCTGGGACTGTCAGGGACACGGTTTTTGTACATGTGCCCCGAGGAGATGACTATGCCTCTCTCCTACACTGTGTTCTTGAGTAGAGGAATACACCCCTGGTGCATCTTCAAGTTATTAGATCACTCAGCTCTCCAAAACAGGGAGGGAGAGAAATAGGGAAATGTAGATGAACTAAACTACAAAATAATATCATTGACTACAAAGCAAAAGACTCAGAGAATTCCTTTTTCACTGGCTTCATTTGAATGGGCTTTAACAAAGGGCTCCCTGCCTGAAGTTGGATTATTTAAAATAAAACTCTGTTCCAAAACCCAGGATCCATCCCCAGAGATTGTCTAAAAATCCCAAATTCAGTAAGCAAGAAAATAACAACTGAGGGACAAGAACAGGCCAAATCCATCATCATTCCGAGGCAGCAACGCAGGGAATCTGTGTGGGAAAAGTGAAACTTGTGTGAGTTGGTGACCATGAGGAAGAACAATATCAGAGATGGAAAAAAGCACTACAAGAGTACATAGAAGAGGAAGAGGAGCTGTAAACCTGTTGGATTTTTGACACACAGATGGACTGTTGCAAGAGTTTTAGTGTCTGTTGTATTTTCCTGAGTTTGTACCTTTGCGATTCTATAAAAATTCCCTTAAGTTGTTTACTCCTTTTACTGTATTCTGATTGGTTGTCCACTGCTGCAGTGCAGATGTTCCATATAAGGTTCTACCTCTCCCCTCCATCCCTTGTTGAGATGTGACCCCTCCTACGTTGTCCATGTTAAGGCGAGTTCCCTCCTAATCCTTCCCTATATGTCTTCTTCACACCTACAATTCTAGAATGTTCCTTCCTTCCCCTATATAAAGGGGAAGCCATGCTAATAAAGCAGCCTACATACCTTGACTCACACCCTGTGTAGGTGTCCCTCCTTTCTTCCCGGCTCGTAACAGAAAAGATTTGAGAGCAAGGAGTTAATACACGCTCAGCAGTTTGAAGATCCCAAGTGTGAGGGGCTGAAGATATCCAGGAGAGGCAGAGCCCTGGCACAGGGGACATGGGAGACTCTCTGGAGCATGGTCAGCCTCCATCACCCTGGCAAAGCTGAGGATAAGGAGAGAAGCCTGGGGGAACTGCTGGGGGAAGGATGTGGCTGGCAGGGATGAGGATCCAGAAAGGAGTGAAGTTAAACAGGCTGAGGTGGCATTTCAGAATGGAGCTTTGCTGCCTTCAGCCTGAATCGTGTTTTCCCCGGGGTTGGTGCTGCACTGCAGCCATTCAGACTCGGTCTTTTGGCATCTTCCTGCAGCACAAAGGATTGGGAGTGGCTGCAGAGCAGCAGCATTTCCCACTGAGTAGAGGCCAGTGCCCCCCCTGCCAATCCATCCATAGCTCTGGCAGTTCATGGGACACAAGAGAGTGGAGGGACACAGACCCTCCTGGGTGTTTTTGCACTCCCACAGCAGATGTTCTGCCTTGGCAGCAGAAACTTTTCTATGTTACAAGTTCTTCCATGGGCAGCAGTGTTATGGCATCAGCTGAGAGATGCTTTGACATGAGCATATGGAGGGGAAAGAAAACACCCAAAGCAAACTTGGGAGGAAAACAAGTGGGGAGAGGAACTGCTTTGAGTTAATTTCCTTTCTTTTTTGGTTTTCCCCCATACAGAAGACACCATCCTGGGCCAAGGTCTCCAGCTGGAATGGAACCTCCAATGAAAAAAGTGAAGAAACAGCCAGTTTAATTCATGTTCTGAGTTCTTCACTGATGTTTAATAATGTTCTTAATTATTATTTCTTACTTCCTGTTCTTACTTCATGTCTTTACTCATTGTTGTTATTTCATATTCTTAATTCATCATTCTTGCCAAACATTTTTTTAGGATAAACAACGTGGAATTGAAAAAACCCTGAACTGCTATGCTATATATTTTGGTGTCTATTATAAACTATGTCAGGTCACTGGAAATTAACTTGATTGGTCACTACTGCAGACAACTGCCTTTGACCCTGGGGTTCTTTCTCAGATTGTATGCAAGAAAAAGCTCAAGAAATTAAAGACAGGAAAAAATCTTGAAGCGTAAAAAAAAAAAGGCAACAGTGATTAAAGACATTACAGCTAAGAAGATGGGTCACAGAGGAGCTGCAGGAGTCTCCCATATTCACATGTCTGAGAAACAGCAGAGAAGTGGCTGACAAGCTCAGGACACAGGAATTATATTCCCTTTCCATGTTTTCAAGTTTCTCAATCCTGAAAGGAGACTTGAGAGTTCTCTATGGTTTATTTCCTCCTCCAGCTCCAAACTAAGCTCTTTATCCCATCA